TGCTGATGCTCACACCACTGCTGATGATGCTCACACCACTGCTGATGAGGCTCACACCATTGCTGATGATGATCATACCACTGCTGATGATGCTCACACCACTGCTGATGATGCTCACACCACTGCTGATGAGGCTCACACCATTGCTGATGATGATCATACCACTGCTGATGATGCTCACACCACTGCTGATGCTCACACCACTGGCACTGGAGCTTTGAACTCAGGCCCACACAGTTGCACATCAAGCACTTTTTACCTACTTTGCTAAGTCCCCAACCCCCCTTCATCTTTTCTTATGATAACCAGATGTAAAAATTCCTGAGTCATGGGCTGGGGAGATGGCTCAGAGGTTAAGAGCTCTGATAGCTCTTCCAGAGGTCCTGAGTTCAGTTCCCAGCAGCCACATGGTGGTGGCTCACAACCATCTCTAATGAGATCTGTGCCCTCTTGGCCTGCAGGCATACATGCAGGCAGAACACTACATACAAAATAAATAAATCTAAAAAAAAAAAAAATCCCTGAGTCAATGCATGACCTGAAGGCCAGTCACCTTGGTCTGACTCACCTGGTGACTTCACTTCTCAACTTTTTCCGGTCTTCCCCTGAACACCCCAGATAAGACTAATCCCCTTGCAACACTGCCTGAGGAAAGCACCTGGCTTGGTGCCGGGAGCCAACTTGCGATCCTTTCTTCTGTCTCCTCCCTCACTGTCTCACTCTTTCTGGCTGGTGAGAAGCTAGGACCACTTGACTGCAACTGTTCTCCTGTTGCTCTGATGCCCATTGTGTTGGTCAGTGTCAGCTTGTGTCCAAATCTTTTCAGAAAGGACGTTTTTCAAATGCATTCTGTCAAAAAAGACTAAATCCTCGGTGATGGTTCATCTTAACTGTCAACTTGATTGCACTTAGGATCACCATGGAAACACACCTGGGGGGCGGGGGAGGGGGTTGTGAGGGAGTTTCCAGAAAGATTTAACTGAAGAGGAAGGAACCATCTTGAATGTGGGCGGCACCACTCCATGGGCTGGGGTCCTAGACTGCAGAAAATGAGAATGCACACTGATCACCAGCGTTCTCTCCGTTCCTGGCTGAAGATAGGAATATGAGGGGTCCCCACCCCCTCCCCTGCCATGTCTTCCCCACCGTGACGGACAGTAAAGCTGAAACAAAGCCTTTCTTCCTCCAGTTACTTTTGGCCAAGTATCTAGTCCCAGCAATGACAAAAGCAACTGGCAGACCTACCGAACACTGGATCCTAGAAGCCAGTTCTGGGATGTAAACTGTTCCCCTCCCCAAATGCTGTTTGCCGTTCCTATAGTCTTAGAAAACAGCTGTAGGCAGGTGTGATGGCTAGTCATGGGAAGAGGGACCCTCAACTGAGGGATTATCCCATCACACCTCCATCATGCCCCACCCATGGCTGGTGGGCATCTCAGTGGGGCATTTTCTTGATTCCCAGCTACTGTGGGTGGGACCATCCCTAAGCAAGCAGGCCTGGGTTGTGAAAGGAAGATAGCTGGATGTCAGCCTAGAGCCAGCACGAGGCATTGCTGCTTCAGCTCCCTTCAGTGGTGAATTGTGACCTGGAAGCAATGGATGAGATAAACCTTTTCCTCCCTCGGGTGCTTTTGGTTTGTGGTCTTTATCACAGCAACTGAGCACCAACTAGAACAAGTCAGATGGAGAGCCTCTGTACAGGTCCCCGGAGGCCCCAGGCTGGTCCTCCTAAAGACTACAGAAAGTCCACCCAGCATCAGGCCAGCCCGGAGTCCCATAGCTCTGGGGAAGGGACCTGGACATCCTCTCATAGCCCTGAGACCGAGCTGTTCACATGGTTTCTTACGCTTTGCACAGTGGACAACCGCCCTGGGAGAGCGAGATGTCATTCTGGACCACAGTTGCTCAAAGCAAACTGATTCACCAACACATACAACACCTAGATGGGGTAAAACTAGTTCCTCCAAATTCACAGCTGCTGACAATGACGTCAGCTACTCACCTCAGCCTTAGAGGCGCCCATCCCAGCCACCTGGCTTGCTAGCGCTCACCCACTCATCCCAACCTGGTTCTCTACAGGCCTTGGGATGTGGGTGAATGCTAATTGTAAGTCTGCTTTAAATATATATTGCCATTAAAAGGGTCTTAAACAGCAAGAGGAAACTCATAGACAATAGCACACTCATACTTCCAGAACGCAGATGGCTTAAAATAAGAAGAATGCATATGTATGATGACACACCACTGTTACAGACTTCCTCGGGCTCTGTTATGTGAGAGCCAGAATGGCTTCTAAGTTTAAGGCTGAGAAAGTCAAAACTACGGCAACTGTTGGCAACTTTGGTGAGCTCACTTGTCAACTCTACTTAGTATTTAGCATCACCTCCTGAAGACTATACTCGGAAGGGACCAGCAGAGAGTTTCAGAAAATCAGCATTTCTTGCAAAGGGAGCAAGATGCATGTTTCTCACTCCTCTTTGCAAGATGTCCACCCAAACTAGATGCGTCTTTTCTGAGAATCAAATGACCTCCCATGTCTTCAGAAGCCAGGACTGACTGAGAAAACAAGCCACAAAAATTACAACAGCTGCTAGCCTGTGCGCGCTTCGTCTCAGGGCCAAAATAGACACCCTAAATGACAGCATCTGAATAGGACGGGGCTTTATCAGAGAGTCTAATCAAACCTCGGAACCAGCACACTCCCCGATGAGCATACCAACATCTCCAGCTGCACAACACAGACCTGCTCTGGGCACTCAGTCACCTTGAGGAGCCCGAGACACTCTCCACAGGCCATAACTACACTGCGGAGTACGGGTCTCATGTGGACTACACGGAGCCCACGGGAGAGGCAGTTTGTGGGGGATGCAACCTAAGTTTAATCGGTTCACCATGCTGTTGAACTTAAAGAGATGATAAAAGACCAGAATTTGGGGTCTTTCAGAGACACCTGGGGACTCTGAAAGATGGTGCCAAGCCAAGACGCTGTCAGAGTCCTCATCAAATGTTACCAACCAAGAGTCCTCCAGACTAGCTGTGACCCAGAGACAAGGACAACACTACAAACTAATGAGGAGCACGGTCACCACCTGTGTTGTTCTGGAGTCCCCAGGCTGCCCCTGGGTCTCTGTCCCCGACTTCGCTCCTCAGAGAGAGCTGGTGATGCTCTGATCTGCCCATCACTCCCAAAATGTAGCAGCCAGCCCAGGAAGGCTATACACCCTCTATGGAGGGTTTTCCAAGTCTGCTTGCCCATCGGGGTCACTAGGCGGAGCGCTTTGTAAAACTGTGACACAGGGCCAGACAGATGGCTCAGCAGGTAAAAACACGTGCCACCAAGCTTGACAACCTGAGTTTGATTCCTGAGACCACACAGGAAAGAGAACTGACTCCTACAAGTTGTCCTTTGACCTCCATGTATGTGTCATAGTATGCACACACATACAAAATGTTTTTATGACATACATTCATCCATCATACTTGAAAGCTTACTACGTGCTATGTACCAGGGATGAAAAGAACTGAAAATAAAAAATCCCTGTGTCTTCACAGAGATGA